CCAAGTTCGCACATCACTGAGCAAAGTCACAAAATCGTTATCAGTGTCTGATGACGAATTTCCCCACGAATCATTATCACTCAATTCTGCAAGGGGTTTCAATTTACTATCACTGTTCTCTAGCTGGTCTAAAACTGCTTTTGACCTAAAGGGAACGATTTTTGGCCGGCATGGACATTTCTCAGTTTCCAGGCAGAAAGAACAGTAAAAATGCTGGCAGGGCCCAGGACAAAGCACTAGGGACAAAATGTATGTGAAATGCTTTGATGAAGTAATGTTTTACTATGTGCTTTTAGTGTATTTAGTGAATGTTACTTTTTGACATTTTAAATTTCCCGCCGGTTATGTCCCCCATACGTCCCGACGTCGCAAGGAACGGAACCCAGAAGACAGATGCCGGCATCGGCCGAGAGATGGCCAGGGACGATGCAGGGGGGACATCGCGGGAGCGAAGGACAAGGTAACTGCAGAAGGGATCCTGGAGCAACGCTACAGGGTATTCCCGAGTGTAGCTCGGGGTTACCGCTTGTGGTGCTGAAACTTTACCCCGAGCTACACTCGGAATATCTCCAGGGAGATTAAAGTGTTACTAAACCCAAGACCCTGCATTCACTATATCTGTCTCTCCCACAGTACACAGAACATGGAAATGCAATTATTTTAGTAAATATAAACTTCCAAATACCTTTTCTCATCCGCAGTATATAGCTGTCTTGTGACTTTAATCAGTGTCCAACTGAGCACTGGTTAAAGCTTGTAGGAGGAGTTTTCATTCTCCTCTGACTGTCCTATGAAAGTTTGCATTTTTTCTTCAGAGTGACAGAGCAAACTAAAAATGAGGGTAAAGGGTTGATTTGTGAAAGGTCAGCAATCAATGAAAGAAATACTTTTATTTTTTCAGCCAAATCCGTCTTATATTTCCTTTTAATACACTGCAGAAAAAAATAAAGGAACACTTTTTAATCAGAGTATTATAGCATCAAGTCAATTAAACTCCTGGGTATTGATCTGGTCAGCTAAGTAACAGAGGGGTTGTTAATCAGTTTCAGCTACTGTTGGTGTTAAGGAATTTAACAACAGGTGCACTAGATGGGCAACATGAGATGACCCCAAAAACAGGAATGGTTTTAACAGGTGGCATGAGATGATACCTGGACCCTACAGAGGTTGCACAGGCAGTCCAACCTCTCCAGGATGGCACATCAATACATGCATTGCCAGAAAGTTTGCTGTGTCTCTCAGAGCATGTAGGAGATTCCAGGTGACATGCAGTTACTCTAGGAGAGGTGGACAGGCCGTCGATGGTCCTTAGCCCATCAGCAGGACCGGTATCTGCTCCTTTGTGCAAGGAGGAACAAAATAAGCACTGCCAGAGTTCTACAAAATTACCTCCAGCAGGCCACTGGTGTGAATGTCTCTGACCAAACAATCAGAAACAGACTTCATGAGGGTCCGACGTCCTCTAGTGGGCCCTGTGCTTACTGCCCGGCACCATAGAGCTCGATTGGGCATTTGCCATTAAACACCAGAATTGGATGTGATTTTCACAGATGAGAACAGGTTCACCCTGAGCACATTTGACAGACGTGAAAGGGTCTGGAGAAGCTGTGGAGAATGTTATGCTGCCTGTAACATCGTTCAGCATGACCGTTTTGGTGGTGGGTCAGTGATGATATGGGGAGGCATATCCATAGAGGGACACACAAACCTCTGCAGGCTAGACAATAGCACCCTGACTGCCATTAGGTATCGGAATGAAATCCTTGGACCCATTGTCAGACCCTACACTCTACAGTGGTGGGTCCTGGGTTCCTCCTGGTGCACGACAATGCCCGGCTTTGTGGCGAGAGTATGCAGGCAATTCCTGGAGGATGATGGAGTTTTGATACCATTGAATGGCCTCAAGCTCGCCTGACCTAAATCCAATAGAACACCTTTAGGATGTCATGTTTTAGTCTATCTGCCGCCGCCGCCAGGTTGCACCTCAGATTATCCAGGAGCTCAGTGATGTCCTGGTCCAGATCTGGGAGGACATACCCCAGGACACCATCTGTCATCTCATTAGAAGCATGCCTCAACATTGTCAGGCATGCATACAAGCACGTGGAGGCCATACAAACTACTATCAGTACCATTTTCAGTTGCTGCAATGAAATGTGTTTTCAAAGTGTTCTTTTAATTTTTTTTGAGCAGTGTATATTTTTTTCAAAAGCACTTCAAGTGATACTAAAGTCTTGTTGTTTTTTCTTAAAAACAACAAACATGTTATACTTACCTGCTCTGTGCAGTGATTTTGCACAGAGCAGCCCAGATCCTCCTCTTTTCAGAAGGAGCTCCAGGCATTGACTCACTGGCTGTGATTGACAGCAGGGAGAGCCAATGGCTGCCACTGCTGCCTCAGCCAATTAGGAGTGAGAGTCTCTGGAGAACTGATATCGCTGGATTGAGAGGGGGCTCAGGTGTTAGGAGGGCTGGGGGGGGTGGTGCTGCTAAACACAGAAGGTTTTTTACCTTCATGCATAGAATGCATGAAGGTAAACAACCTTGAAACGTTAGAACCACTTTAAAGTAATAAGAGTAAATTTTTTCTATAGGGTAAGGCAACATATTTTATTGACCTTGAGTCTGGCTATAGTATTCTTAGATCCTTGTTTCATTGAGCAGATTCACACTTTGCAAAACAACTGATGGAACAATGAACCACTTTATAATATTATATATTATAATCTTCCTTGTTTGATAAGTTATGATATGCTTAAGCTCACCACAATTTGACTGTACAATCTTCTTTAGATCTGCCAATGTCTATGTAGGGCCTGTCTGATTGGGTAGTTTAGGTAGGTCCTCATAGTATACAGTCTGGTAAAATAGGAAAAACTAACTCCTATGACTCCAGATCCAGTAATTTTTAAATTCTATTTTCCAATTTAAAAAATGTTTTGGAGTCCCCAGTACCACATGATCTGACATAGTGCAAGGAATGCTCCCCAGAAAACAAATGTGTTTAATGGAGAAAAATAATTCCAATTTCCCTTTAAATCTAAATAAGATTGTACAAAGAGTGTACAGTCATACTGTAATGGTTAACTCTAGGCCAATACCCAAGCAATCTGTTGGCAGATATTTGGCAGCATGTGCTCCATAACTGATCTAGTCAGGAGCTAGGTTGAAATCTGGGTCAGTGCCCAGAAAAGTTTTTGTTCTGCACTAGTTCACAATATTACTCTATTCTGCTACTTTGATAACAACTCTACTTCTAGTGAGACCCAGAGAATAGAAAATGGACAGAGGGTTGGCATGATGAGGAGGAACAGGTCAGAAAAGGGTTATATAATGTTTGTTCAGTGTAGAAGGGGTGTAGGTCTTACCTGATTGGAGTCTGAAATTTGGGTGAGGGATTCTGGGTATTCACCCCAGAATGTTCAGGTGAAAAAGAAGTTTCCCCACCCATCTGCCCTAGATTTTCAGTCCATTGTATTTTGGGGTTGTGTGAGGTATTATTTCATACAAAAAAAAAAATCAGTAAATATTAAATCTGTCACAGGAGCTTGGTGGGTCGGGGGTCTTTGGGGATCAGTGAATATTTGAATTGTCAGAAAACTGGGGGGCCCATCTGGGATATGACGTTTCCAATTGGTTGGTTATTGGTGGTTCTCCCAGGAGATAGGTTCCCTGGGGGAAAGTGTAAGAATGTGTGGGTTTATAATGTCTTCAAGCTGGTTTGGGAACGGCTGAGGACAAGGGCAATTGTAGTTATACAGTTGCAAGAAAAAGTATGTGAACCCCTTGGGATTACGTGGAATTTTGCATGAATTGGGCATAAAATGTGGTCTGAACGTCATCTAAGTCACAACAATAGAAGAACACAGTCTGCTGAACATAATACTACACAAAACATTAGATGTTGCCATGGTTTAATTGCACATAACATGTAAACATTCACAGTGCAGGGAGGAAAAAGTATGTGAACCTTTGGACTTAATAACTGGTTGACCCTCCTTTGGCAGCAATAACCTCAACCAAACATTTCCTGTAGTTGCAGATCAGACCTGCACAACAATCTGGAGTAATTTTGGACCACTCCTCTTCACAAAACTGTTTCAGTGTAGCAATATTCTTGGGATGTTGGTGTGAATCGCTCTCTTAAGGTCATGACACAGCATTTCAATGGGGTTGAGGTCAGGACTCTGACTGGGCCACTCCAGAAGGCGTATTCTGTGCTGTTGCAGCCATTGTTTTGTTGAATTACTTGTATGCTTTGGGTCATTGTCCTGTTGCATCACCCATCCTCTGCGGAGCTTCAGTTGGCGGACAGATGGTCGTACATTTTCCTGCAAAATGTCTTGATAAACTCTGGAATTCATTTTCCCATCAATGACAACAATCCATCCAGGCCCTGAGGCAGCAAAGCAGCCCCAAACCATGATGCTCCCTCCGCCATGTTTTGCAGTGGGGATGAGGTTTTGATGTTGGTGTGCTGTGCCTTTTTTTCTCCACACATAGTGTTTTGTGTTCTTCCCAAACAACTTAATCTTGGTTTCATCTGTCCACAGTATATTTTGCCAGTAGTGCTATGGAACATCCAGGTGTTCTTTTGCAAACTTCAAACGTGCTGCAATATTCTTTTTGGACAGCAATGGCTTCCTCCATGGTGTCCTCCCATGTATTCCATTCTTCACATACTTTTTCTTGCAACTGTAAATTGGACCTTTAAAGACACCCAAAGACCCCTCCTGTTTTCACTGCTGAAATTGTTTTAATGTTTGTTGTTATGTTAATGTGATGGTATTTATTTCATTAGTAAATAAAATGGCTGCTGTGGCCATTTAAACCCATGTCATGCAGTCTGTGTTATTATTTTAAGTAGGACTGCGGTTGACAAATCCTTTACTCAAGTGTCTGCTCTCCTTCTGCTACCTACCCTGACTTTCTGATATTCTTAAGGCTGATTGCACAAAGTGTTTCTAGATGCTGTGCCTCCAATCCTCGCACTTGAGTGTGGCTGGGAGACACAGGCAGGGGCGGACTGAGAACTCATGGGGCCCTTGGGCAATAGGGGATCATGGGGCCCCTGTGTCCTTGCCCAAACTCAAAAAAGCCTATGAAGAAGTTACCATGGGCATCTCATGGGGCCCCCTACTGACCCCGGGTCCTCAGGCAGTGCCCGAGTTTCCAAATGGTCAGTCCACCCCTGGACACAGGTGCAGTGTTCTGCCACACTGCCTGCAGCCTATCAAAATCTATGACAGGCTGAAAAATGTTGCAGCTGGAAGGGACTGGATGTCAGTTAGGGCCCTATACTTTCAGAGGTCAATATTCAGTTGCAGAATAGATCCCTAAACACAAGTATTACTCAGTACAGCATTTAGCCACAGCATATTTCAGCCTCCCATAAACTTTTACAGGCTGCAAGCAGTGGTGCTGGATGCTGCACCTCTACCTCCTGGCGCACTAAAATGCACAGCAGACAGATACCCCATGGGCAAGGGACTTTAATAATTTTTTCCTGTGTTTTAGATGTTCCTGCTTTTTAGTAAGGGTTTGGCTCGTTTACCATTGTTTAGCTGCAGTTAACTGCGTTTATAGTATCTAATCAGATAATGGATGTATAGAATTCTATATTCTCTAAATGCAGATAGACTGACTACACCTAAAAGCAGGTTTAGCTTAGTGTAAATGGCACCCACTGAAAAATCATTATCTGCATTTATATGGATTTAGAATTGCCCTCTAAATCCCGGTAAAGTATGCTTGTTATACTCACTATTGAACCTAAGTGGTTAATCCTCTGCTTTGTGTAAAAAAGGCTGTTTGATCCTGTCTTCTCTGATACTCCCCTTCTTCTAATGTCACCCAATCCATCTACTGCTGGTATAGAGCTCTAAGAGTCAATTTGTACATACTCAGTTTAGTGTGCATTGCTAGAAAGTTGGTGTATAAAGTGTCTTGGCGCCGCTCAGAAGCTGAGTTATCAATATAAAGAGTCACCTCACTGACATATATAGTAGAACGGTGTTTGCATCAAAGTCCAATAACTTGCGGTTGAGAAGAGGAGGAAGGACACCGCTCTGACCGCTTGTGTAATCCTGTGTATAGGGGATGGCCTCAGCTTTTACACCGGCCAGGCTCTCTGTTTTGTTTCACCTCACCCTCCGGGGCTTGATCACAGATGAGTGCAGGATGACAGACGCTCTGAGCTTATCTCTGCATAATCAGCCGTGAATCAAACAGGTGGATCATGAACATGGTGTATGTCATAGAAAAGAGTGAGATTAGCATAAAAAAGAGGGAAAAAAATGTGAAAAGCTAATAAAAAAAACTACTAGAGAATATGAAAATATGAAAAGGTGAAAAGAAAAAAATACATATGTATCACTCTTTCAGCATTCCAAATACAGATATGATGTCATGCCCTATAAAATAATGCTATATCTTACCATATGATTTTTGATATGAGAGGAATAATACAGAGGGTGTATTATGTCCCTATGTAACTAATATGCTTGAATTCTTGTACTGTATTTTTAATCCTGTTACAAAACTTAACAAAAACAGATTAAATGTAAAAAAAAAACATATTAGATTTTAGTAACTGAGTTTACATATACTATTAATACTACAAAAAAAATCAATAAGAGACTTCTAATTGCACATTTTGGTACTAAATATGAAATATTGTTATTCAGTCTCTTTGGATTTATATTCTGGTAGAAAGTCTTTATCTTGAAAATACTGCTCTACAGAACAAAATAAAACCTACAACTGACAACATCTTGTGTCTATGTGCTCTAGGCCATAAATTAGGCAACATTCACTTGCTGATTGATGACATGCACACCTGCTGGGATCTCATTTGTAGCCTTAATTACAGGTTCTTCTGCAACCCATATATGTACATGATCGCTCATAAAGTAGTATTGACCCCTCACTTAAAAAATAATTCCAATTATTTTAGCAATACTTTCACCATAGTCTTACTTTTGCCTTTCCAAATTTCTTCTGCATGTCTTCTATTTGCATTTATTTTTAAATTTCTGCAATTTCCCGTCATTGGCCTTTTTGTTATACTGTACATGCCACGGCTGCAATGCTTTGCTTTGTGGCCACAGCTATTTTAACTCAGCTTGCAGAGTTTGACAGGAAGCACTACCTGTCAAATGTGACCATTAAGGTCAATGAGAATGTACAGCAACAGTGAGCCAAATACAGAATCCCCCTTGGGATTAAAAAAAAGGGAGCTATTCAGGAGGCGGAAAATTCACCTCTTGGACATCTGCAATAAATTGCTTTTCAGAGGATGGTAGAGTACCAGGTATTCAGCTGTAGTCCCAGGAGCGTACATGTTAGGGTGTCAGCTTTGCCAACAATCACCCCCTACCCGGAAATGCAAATCGTATGTGTATATATATATATATATATATATATATATATATAATTTTGCTCAGCCGTGCCGCCCTGTAGCAGTACATCTGCTACAGGGCAGCAGGCAAGTGGTTAAAAAAAGAAATGATGGCACATTTTTTATTTTCCCGTTTTGTCTAGGGGCTCAGAAAGTAAATATACACTTACCTAAACTGCCAATCCTCTGAGCATAAAGACCGGTCCCTGCCGCTCCTGCACCCCCTGTTCACACGCTAGCTGTCTTGTGAATGTGATATTCCTGATGTCATCACACCCATACACCAGCTCTGGATGTGAGGGCGCAGGAACAGTCCACCACTGGTCATGGTTTTCTGGAGGATCAGAGGCATGGGTAAGTATAGCTTTACCCTGAGCCCCTAGACTAGGGTGTCAAACTAGCAGCCCTCCAGCTGTTCCAAACTACAAGTCCCATGAGGCATTGCAAGATTGACAGTTAGAAGCATGATTCTCAAAGGCAGAGGCATGATGGGACTTGTAGTTTCGCAACAGCTGGAGGGCCACCAGTTTGACATCACTGCCCTAGACAAAACGAGCACTTAACGAGCACTTAACCCATGCAGTGCGGGCACAGCTCCACTACATGGGAAAATAACAATTTTAACCTGAGTTCTGCTTTAACAATGAGGACTTAATAACTCTTCAATGCAGAATATTTATAAAGCATTGAATGTGATTTTCACAAAAACATTCATCGGTAATGAAATGAACACTGTCATTTAAAACACATGTACCTGGAAGATTCACCTGCAATGAAAGTTTGCTGAATATCTGACTCAGCACTTTATAAATGTGCTCCACACCTACCAGAATATTAATCTGCTTAACCATCATTTTTAAGGAAAGTCTCAAACAGACATATATTTGTCTTAAGAGGTTCAAGGGGAAACTGGGAAGACTACTTGGACCTATTGGTCTTTATCTGCTATCAGAACAGTGTTCCTTTCCAAGATGTAAGCCACATCCATTCATCCCCTCCTGTGCCAGGAAATTTAATAGCGGCAATAAAGAATTAGTGGTGAATGGCAGTATGGGTAAGTGTGGGCAGAAGGCATGGCAGCTGCCTCACAAGATAAATGAATAACACAACGCGTTAATCTACAACATGTGTTGTGTTAAACTATTTTATTTATTCCGCGATCACCTGAGAGCCATTCCTCACATTTTCATTAATGAATAGAGCTTTACCCAGAGCAGGGTGAAGCCATGTGTGCTACTGACATTGCTATTTGCATATTCCGCTTCATTTACTGATAAATGCCTACAATTATGCCATGTCGGAAATGTGGCATCAATTTTGGTTTTATTATTATTTTTTTTACTTTGCTGTGGTTAAAGGATGATGGAGTTTTATGTTGTTTGTTTTTAATGAGGTATTTTCTTAACACAACATTTGCAGGTTAATTAAAAACCATCGATGCACCACTTCAAATTAAAGCTTGACAAACACATCATGACAGGTAGGTAAAGCCAAACAAAATAAATGGAGACTTTGCATGAAAGTCATAGATAAAACAAAGACAGTTGAAACGAACTAGACACTGTAATGCTAATTACATAAGGAGAGAACAGTGCTGTCATGAGCGACTTACTAATGCCCAACTGAACTTTCAGCTTACATCAACCAAATACATTCCGGTGAGCAACGCATTATGGTTCATGCTGTTTAGAATGCAGTAACAGCCAGGGTAGAAAAGCCTGTCCCCTGTCAAGCAGTGGTCTCTCTGCAGTGGTCCAACCCTCCCGGCCGAGTCAAACCTAGAGCCCTTTATTCAGCAAAGCTTTTGATCTCTGCTGATTGCAGAGCCTTAGCTCTGACTAAGCAAAGGGCATGTCAAACCTCTGCTAAGAGACCACTGCTTTCATACAGAGAGCCAGAGCCCTTCTCTGCAGCATGCTGGCAGGAGACATTCTTTGCTGTCTAGGCTCTCTAGGTTGAGGTTGCTTTCTAAAGAAAATGAATGGGTTAGGTTTGTGTCAAGATGCCCCAGCAATAGACATGTGCACGCCGGAAATTTTCATTTCGTTTCATTTAGGATGCATTCATTCATTAAAGAATTTCTTTTTGTCACATTCATTATGTTGAACTGACTGTTTTCAACATTAATTTTGTATATTCAGCATTCATTTCCTATAAATGTTGGCCAGGGTAGATTCGAAAAATTTTGCAGTTTTTCCAGAAGATTGCGATATATTCAATATATGTTCTATTTGGACTGATTTGAAACAGAAGGCTTAAATATTTTCAGCCACTAGCCAAACCCACCAAGGGAAATGGCATGAGCAGGTTGGACAATATCGAATGGCATCACGTGCATCGGAATTATTGAATGGAACTAAAGTCGGATCCATTTGTTTTCCAAATCCTAATTATAAAGCAAATTAAAAAATATAATTCATTTCCCCATGGGCCCAAACTACTATCGCATTTAGTGACGTCATATGAATGAAACCAATACATTTGTTAACTTTGTTATTATTTTTTTTTTTTTTAATTGTTGACATTCATTACTATGTCGATTCAGAGATTTGTATACACCAAAAGCTCCAAAAATGACATTTTCATCCAAAACACAAATCGTAATGAAACAAAACGCACATGTCTAACTAGCAATATGTTTAGCTGATTTAATTGAAAGTTCATTTGGGCTTTAATATTTGACTGCTTGTTGCACGTAATTCTGCTCCTTCCTTAAAGTAAAATTAAACAATAAAAATATAGAATTATATATGACTGTCTATGAACTACATGATTTAATAAAAGGGAGGAGAAGAGATCCGAGATACATTGTTAATATATCTTTTATACATATGTTATGGTGTTCAATACTATTCCCCTCTAACAGCAAGAGGCCAATTTTTATTATTTTTTTAATATCTCACTGTACATTTAATAGGATCGTTGAACTAATTATTTTTAGAATGTAGTTTTCAAATAAGTATTGTATTAAAGGAATACTGAAAAAATAATAATTAACGATAAATACACTATGAGGCAGGTCACCCAAGTATCATTTTTTAACTGTTTTACAGCAATAAGAAGGACTGTCAAGCAGCTCATCAATTTATATCCCGCTAAAGGTGATTGCGGACAGAATAATTTACTACTAACTGCTGCAACAAGAAAACCAGATATGACTAGAGGGTTTGACGTCTCAAAGATCATGATTTTCTTGTGTTGTATTTGTTATAATTTTTTTGTGGATTGTTGACATTCGTTACTATGTCAATTCGGAGATTCGTATACTCCCGAATTTCCAAAAATTACATTTTTCGTCCAAAAAACGAATCGTAATGAAACAAAACACACATGTCTAACTAGCAATATGTTTAGCTGATTTATCTGAAAGTTCTGTTGGGCTTTAATATTTGACTGCTTGTTGCACTTAATTCTGCTCCTTTCTTAAAGCAGAAATAAACAGGAAAAATATAGAATTATAGGAGCTGCTATTACTAGCTTGTTTTTAAAACATACAAGCTCCAGGGCATTCATCCTTAATTTGCTTGGTGAATTACTGGCTTGGTAAATGCAAATTCAATCTAAAAATACTGCATCTTCAAAAATGAATCAGCAATGGCAAGTTCCATATTTCTAGACTGACATTCACCATCGGGTCAAATTAACTCAACATTTTTCTTAACAGAGAGGAGAAGTGAAGCATCTTTCTATCTTTCATCAGCTCAGCACAGAAACGAATAGTGTTGGTTATGCCTAAGCTCATCACAGAAGTGTTGAGGAGAACAATAAATACGTTAAAATGTGAAAAATGTGAAGCCATAAAAACATGACATAACTATCATGCTATAGTTAAAGAAGAACTCCAGTCAACATGTCCACAATGGATGATTCTCAATCATGTGATGCTGCAATTATATCTGATTAATGGCAGGTGTCTACCATATCTGCTGAGATTACTCATTTATTATATAAGTGATTTTGAAAATGAATCTCCAAATTGAAATATTATGATATCTGATATTCACAGATTGAAGTTCTTGTGTAAATAATGTTATTAATAATAATAATGAAAAGCTACACGCTGAACCTTCCATTTTAAAACATAAAAGTGGCCTAGCTTCTATTGTGTCTGATCACTGAAATAAAAAGAAAATAATTTGTAAGCTTTCGTAATCGAAGTTAGCCAAAGTTCTCTACAGCACATAGGAAACACTTCTTTTCATAAAAAAGCAGAAGTGGATTGTTGCCCTCAATGCAATTGGGTACAATGTTCCTTTTTTTTTTTCTGAGCATTGTGGTCTGGTTCAGGTATGGTTTACAGGCTATTGACTTCTATGGGAACCAGGGGCGGACTGACAACTCATGGGGTCCCCCGGGCAATAGGGGATCATGGGGCCTCTGTGTCCTTGCCCAAACTCAAAAAAGCCTATGAAAAAGGTACCAGGGGCATCTCATGGGACCCCTACTGACCCCGGGCCCTCGAGTTTCCAAATGGTCAGTCCGCCCCTGATGGAAACCATTTCTAAACCGTATATGTGTGAACAGAATAAGATTCTGAGCTGATCCTATCCTGAACATGATGTAAACTTGACCTGAACTGGTGAACAACAACTGTATGGTGCCTGTTCACATGTGTCCGATGCAGTGGTGGTGCGGATTCAGTGCAGTTTAAAAAAGAGTCCTGTATGATTTCTGAGCAGTGCGGTCCGGTTCAGGTATGGATTACAGGCTAATGACTTCTATGGGGACCGTTTCTAAAACCGCATATGTGTGAACAGGATAAGATCCTGATCTGATTCTGTCCTGAACCTGATGTAAACTTGACCTGAAATGCTGAACAACAACTGTATCAATTAGCTGTTAAACCTGCACTTCAATCCGTATCGTATATATGTGTGAATCAGCACTTACAATGTCCCCTCCACCAGCTGGAGTTGAACTGGATGGACTTTTGTCTTTTTTCAGCCAGACTAACTATGTAACTATGTATCCAGCCAGGGGCGGACTGACAACTCATGGGGCCCCCAGGCAATAGGGGATCATGGGGCCCCTGTGTCTTTGCCCAAACTCAAAAAAGCCTATGAAAAAGGTACTAGGGGCATCTCATGGGGCCCCCTACTGACCCCGGGCCCTCGGGCAGTGCACGAGTTTCCAAATTGTGAGTCCGCCCCTGTATCCAGCGACTCCAAACACTTATGTCTAAAAACATGGGCTTCATCTTCTCATCCAAGTTAGAATCAATGCAGATCTTAAGTCACTACTGAGCTTTACATTTTTTGAGCAATAAATCTGAAAAGAAAGTGGAACCAGTCAGCTATTTTTTACCTGGTCATATTTATGGGATGCAAGAGAGGGGTCAGTTCACTCAGTTTATCAAACCATAGGCAGGATTTCTGCAGATACATTTTGATCAATTGCCTCCTGGTGTCCTTCATCCCTCATGGCAGACAGGCGTGGGGAACAGATGGATGAGCTGTTGTCTGCTAAACACTTCCAAATGCTGCGAAATCAAATGACATTCAGCATTTCCATTCTACTAATCACACACAGATCACGCATGGATTACTCCACAGGGATCAAGGCTCATCTTCCCTTCTTTTAATTGTAATGAGGGACTCTAATGAATTATTTGGTGTACGGCACCATGCGTAGCTCTCACTTTTGATTGGATCATGATGAATAATGACAAGATCAATGACTGTCTATGAACTAAATTATTTAATAAAAGGGAGGAGAAGAGATCTGAGATACATTGTTAATATATCTTTTATACGTATTCTATGGCGTTCAATACTATCTTCCCCTCTAACAGCAAGAGGCCAATTTTTTTTGTTTTAATATCTCACTGTACATTTAATAGGATCTTTGAGCTGTTCATTTTTAGAATGTAGTCTTCAAATAAGTATTGTTAAAGGAATATGGAAAAAAAAATTAATAATAAATACAATATGAGGCCAAGTAACCCAAGTATAATTTTTTAACTGTTTTACAGCGATAAGAAGGACTGTCGAGCAGCTCATCAATTTATATCCCGCTAAAGGTGATTGCAGCCAGAATAATTTACTATTAACTACTGCAACAAGAAAACCAAATACAACTAGAGGGTTTGACATCTCAAAGATCATGATTCTCTGGTCTTGCACTGCCAATGTACATGAGCATTAGATTCAAAAGCAAGCCAGATGCAGTATACTTTCAGGTGATTCTGAGTTGCTTTGATATTCTTTTGAGTTGCTTCAGTTGGCATTTGCATTGTTTTAGGTGTTTCTTTAAATTGTTAAAAGTTGCTTTTGTAATCAAACTGACTTGTAGAAAATAAAAAAGGCAGTTCATACATGATATAATGTCTGTGTACATGCACCCTAAAGTCTAAGTAACGATACACATACTGCCATTGCATTGTTCTCTGTGATCTCTCCATTCTACAAGCCTCAAAGGTTTGAAAAAGGGTGTAGCAAAGAACACCTGTGCGCACTTCAAATATTCAATCATGGGCAGGATTATTTTCCATGTAATTGGTTGTTTCAAGGGAACACAGCTTCACTTTATGTCAGATCTATACATTCTATGGGTAAAGATGGAGCAGGATACCTCAGCCAAAGCTGTGCTAAGGTCAGGTCTTGGAAGATGCAGAAGATGGGAAGACCAGAGTAAGAGATGTGAGGGTTAATAAAGCACTCACATACAGTTAGGTCCATATATATTTGGACACACACACAATTTTCATACTTTTACAGATGACATTGTGTGCTTTGGATCATGATCTGTTCCAAGCCTTCTCCACACTTTTTTCTTCCCGTCATTCTTTTACAGATTAATCTTGGTTATATCTGTCTAAAGAATGCTTTTTCAGAACTGGTCTGGCTTTTTTAGATTTTTTTTGGCAAAGTCTAATCTGGCTTTTCTATTCTTCAGACTTATGAATGGTTTGCACTTTGTGGTGAACCCTCTGTTTTTGCTCTTGTGAAGTCTTCTCTTGATTGCAGACTTTGACAATGATTCACCCACCTCTTGGAGAGTGTCCTTCACTTGTCTGGATGTTGTGAATGGGTTTTTCTTTAACATAGAGAGGATCCTGTGATCATCCACCACTGTTGTTTCCCGTGAACATCCATGCCTTTTTATGTTGCTGAGCTCACCAGTGTGTTCTTCTTTCCTCAGAATGTACCAAACTGTTGATTTGGCCAATCCCAATGTTGCTGCTATCTCTCTGATGGATTTGTTTAATTTTTGAAGCCTTCAAACTTCACTTGCATGGACAGCTCCTTTGAACTCATGATGTAGGTTCACAGCAATAGATTCCAAATGCAAATACCACACTTAGAATCAACTCCAGACCTTTTACCTGCTTAACCATGAAGAAATAATGAAGGAGTAGCCCACACCTGGCCATGAAACAGCTTTTGATTCAATCGTCCAGTTACATTTGGTCCCTTGAAAAAGGGGCGTTGGCTAATCTTAAGAACTGTAATTCCTAAACCCTTCCTCCAATTAGGATGTACATACCTTCAAATTAAACCTGAGAGTGTGCACTTTCAGTCATTATCCATTATATAACTATAGCTTGAGTATTTTTGGTACATACCTAAAAAAACTAAAATTGTGCCTGTGTCCAAATATATATGGACCTAACTGTATGTCCAGTCTTTACCTTGTATTTTTTTCCCTTAAAATTAAACAATATGTAAATCCAGCTTTTCATATTCCTGATATGTACCTGCTGTACCATGTACTTGTATGAAAAAGCATCCTATTTTCTTTGTATTGCTTCCTTTGTGTGAACTCCCTGGTGATCCTGCCAGTCCCTCTGCTTTCCTATTAAAACTGACCACACTAGGCATGAGAGCACAGCATGCTCAGTTTTCTGGTTGTGCTGGAATTCAGCCTGCTCTCCTCCAATGATCAGACTTTTGCTGACACACTGCCCGCACAGCCATTCACAGGGAAGACCAGTGTAATAGGATCCATTTCTGTCTGTCTGCAGCCTGACCTATCTTTGCCTATCTCTACCACCGGATCTGGGAGAAATAAAGCTTTAGACACTGGAGTGTAAAAGCAGTAATTCTAAAAGTTTAATACAAAGCAAGAAATGATATACAGAACTCAACAGGCGTTGCTTAATTCAGGATAACCAATGAAACATTACACTCTTATCAGGATAGTTACGTGAGAAGCAGAAACTGCAATAGCAGAGGGGTATCATATAAGATGCATCCGTTTACAGAGACATTAAAGCAATTCCTGAGAAATGAAACTTAAGCTGTTATATCTCCTAATGGAGGCATTATACAAAATGGATGCCAGTTTAAAGATATATCTCCTTACACAGTGTGCTGCTGTTTCTCCTCCCCCAGCTCTCTGAGCTCCTTATGCAGCTGAGAACAGAGAAAATGTGATCACTTATAAAAAAAAGGAAAAGGGTATTTAAAATGTGTTTTTTTTATATGTATACAGAATTGTTTTGCCTTTCATTTCTATTGTGAACTGAATGGGGTTTTTTTTTTTTACAAGGTGAGGGTTTACAAATTCTTTAACACAACCCATATCTGATATATCATATTTTATTTTAAGGAGTATTAGGTGGAGTTTTAAAAAGATGCCCAAAAGTTAATTAATAATCTATTTTCGGGAACTCTGTTTTCTTGCATCCTTAATAAAGGCTTTAGCACGATGAAGCTGTAAAATAGTACCATGTACAGTATGTAGTCAGTACTTAATAACACATTTCTGCAGTTACCATGCATAGTAATTGATTCTGTCCTATTAGTGATTCTGGAAACTGTATGCATGTACTGTATATATGTGTAGTGGACCTACCAGATTAGTCCTGCTATATTTGATCACAGGTTCTGATCCCTTAAAGTGTTGCTAAACCCAGGACCCTGCATTCACTATATCTGATCTCCCACAGTACATGGAAGTGCAATTATTTTAGCTAATATAAACTGCTAAATACCTTTTCTCATCAGCAGTTAAAGCAGTCTTGTGACTTCTATCGGTGTCCAACAGAGTACATATTAAAGCTTATAGGAGGAGCTTTCATTTTGCTCTAGGAGGATGCAGAACCCCTGACCTCTGTCTGGATAGTGCTGATGGGCCCTGTGCTGATCACATGCACTCTCCCAAGAAAAAAAAAACTCTTTAGCAATACACAGCAAACTGAGCACGTGCAGAGTGTCTCCACACAATATGTCTTATCAGGATGTAAGAAGGGGACACTGGAAGGAGGGAAGAATCAGAGAAGTCAGGATCAAACAACATTTTTACACAATGCATAGGATTAACCCCTTAGGTTCCACAGTGAGTATAACAAGCATGCTTTATGCATATACAGACTGATTTTACTGTTGTGGGTTTAGTAACACTCTAAGTGTAACAAGTAGCCAGACACAAGGTATTTCCGTCTAGGGGTATCAAATCTCACTCAGCCTTCAGACAGTAACCAGGCAGGGGTTGTTCTTTTTGCTGTTTTATTTGTTTTAGTAGAACTGGGATAGGGGGAAAAGCTTTGGGATTTTTGGAACTAGGGAACTTGCTGAGGACACTATCTTGAAATTAATGAACAATAGAAGGCAAAGTTTTCCTCCACAAAAGGGTAGCAACAGCCTTTAGCATAGGGGGGCTTTCTCTATGGTGCAGCCCTGGCAGCTAGGTCTGGAATGGTCCTTCTATCCAGAAGGGGTGCACAAGCAACAGTCACTCTCAGGATTCTCTGCAGCCTGCTGTGATCTGTGTCCCAAGGTATCCCAGAAAGATCCACTCTGGACTGTCTCTGCAACGTCCAAAGGATGACTCTTCTGCTCCTTGATGAGCTAGAGACATCTGGGGTTTTCTTTAGGCCTCCCCTAAGCCTAGGAAGATTTGACAGCATTTCCAGGCTGGGTCAGGTAGGACTTTATTAATATGAACACATCATGCAACAGCATACAGCAAAACGTATAAAAGCTGAAAAATGTGATCATTAACATTTCCTTATAATAATCAAAGAATAATGGTGAGTACAAGATAAAAAAGGAAAAAGTAAAGCAGCTAGCACAACGTGGCAAACCCTCTGTCTCCACCAAAACAAAACATTATAATATCAATGTGCAGCCCTAATAAAAATGTGTGTTATAATCAATGATAACCATGTGATCGTAAAAGAGAAAGGAAACATCATAAAAAAGAAATAGAGAATAGAAGAAGCAATGAAGAAACAAAAT